GTGAGTGTGTGAGTGTGAGTGTGTGAGTGAGTGTGTTGTGTGTGATTGTGAGTGTGTGTGAGTGTGTGAGTGTGAGTGTGTGTGTGAGTGTGTGTGAGCGAGTGTGTGTGTGTGTGTGTGTGCACTTTACTGTAAGGAATCGGCTCGTGTAATCACAAAGGCTGGGAAGGCCCACAGTCTCCACCTGTGAGCTGGATCCCAGGAGAGTGGGTGGCGTAGCTCGAGAAGGGTCTGAAGGCCTGAAGACCAGGGTGGCAGAAGCCCTCGTCCAAGCTAACAGCCTGAGAGTGAGGAGAACTGGTTGTGGAAGTCCCAGTCCAAAGGCAGGAGAGGCCACGTGTCCCAGCTCAAGCATACATTCTCCCTTCTTTTTGTTCTCTTCAGGTCCCCAGGGGATTGTTCTGGGCCCACACACACGGGGTAGGACCGGCTCCTTATTCACCTCACCAACTGAAGTGCTGCTCTCACCCAGAGCCCCCACCCCACCGCCCCACCCAGAGATAACGTTTAACTAGATATCTGGGGACACAGGCCCGTCAAGTTGACATAAAGTCAACCTCGCATGCCTGTTTTACAGCATAAAGAATTAGACCTGCTGGTTACTGGTGAAGGTGGGGCGGGTAGAGAAAGAGAAGTGGGCACAAGCCTGGGAGAAGCCAGGGGGTACGGAGGGCCACTTCACCAGGACAGGGAAGACCATCAAGCAAGAAGAACCAACCGTCGACAGACAGGTGATGTGTGCATATCTGTGAGTCCTCCCAGAGCCCACGCTGGGTGGTTGGAACACGAGTGTCCACCTGGTGGAACGTCTGAGCAGGGGGCAGAGACTTATGACCACATGTGAGGGCAGCAGAGGCAGACAAGGACCCCCAGAGGTGGGCACAGAGGAGGGGGCACTGGCCCAGGACAGAGCACAGGCGCACTGGCATTTAGACATGGGGTGAGGGAGGGGGGACCGGCAAAGGAGGAGACAAAGCCACCAGAAGGAGGGTAAAGCCAGGGGCTGTGGGTGCCGTGGCTCAGGGAGGCTTGGGTGTTGTTGTAGCTCTCATGACCCCCAAAGCCCTGTGCGAAAGGCTTGGCCCTCCATTTGGAAGGTGGTGGAACCTGTAAAAAGGGGGGCTAGTGAGAGGTTTTAGGTTACTGGGGCATGATCTAGAAAGAGATTGTGGGCCACAGTCTCCTTCTCCCTCCCCACCCGTCTCTCTTTTCTTTCTGGCCACGAGGTGAGCAACTTTGTTCCACCATGAGCTCCCTCTGTGAGATGAGCCCCCTCACCACAGGCCTCGGGTGCTGGGTGAGGAAAGCACATGGCAGGGGAGGAAGTGGCCCGCTGGAGTGAGTCTGTCCTTGATGGTGGTCACCACACAGGAGTGGAGTGCATCCAGGAGAAACACCGTCCAGGAAAGAGAATCATTCTTCCAGCGAAGGTCTCAGGCTCCAAGGCTTCGGGTCAGGAGAAGGGCTCACCTTGACCTGTGATGTTGCTTAGAAAAGGTGGGGCGCCTGGGCTTTGAGCCTGCAGGTGCCTGATGGACAACAGTGGCCTGGACTTGACTCTAGAGCAATGTCTGTGCTGATGCTAACTGCAGCTGGTGGGGACTCCATCTGGGCACCGCACTCCTAGTATCTGGATTGTACCAACTCATGTCATTCCCCAAATAAACCCACAAACCTGTCTTCTCGCCACCCCCATGTTACAGAAGAGGGGACTGAGGCACAGGGCGTCTAAGTGAACCGTCCACCTAAACAAATAACAGCAGCAGGGCTGGGCTGAGGTCTTTCCTCAGAACCGCGTCCCTCAGGGCCCCTGAGCCTCTGCTGGCTTCCCCAGGTGCATTAAAGGTGCTGGAGAAACGAGCTAGGCTCCAGCTGCTAAGAAGCCCCCGGAAGAAAACAATCCCCTTCCAATGGGGAGCCCCTGGGCAGAAGGACCCGAGATAGGCAGACCCTCACTCAGGATGGTTGAATCCTGAGCACAGCCGGGTGACATGTGAGTTCTGAGAAGGTTCTGACCAACTGTTAAAGTGCAAACGGAGACGTCAAGAGACCTAGAGAAGTCAGGGTTGACCAGTTGGCAATGCAGAAAGACAAAGGAAGAGACCAGGGCCCTGCTCAGACACCAGGCCTGGGACAGGGGCCCCTTCAGGAACTGACAGCCTCCAGGGGGACCGTCATCCTGATGGCTCTGTGAGAGAAGGGTTCTCCTGGGCACACCTGGCGCAGGCTTTCCCATAGTCATGTTGTTGGCCTTCTGACCCCTCCACGTTGTCGCTCCCCACCTGGCTCCCAGCCACACGCCTGTGTTGGAGGCAGTCGTCTCTGTGGGACGCCGCCCGGCATTTGGCTTTGACGTGTCTTCTGCCTCCACCACTTCCAGCCCAGCAAGTCCCCGGTCCTTCTGCAAGTCCTTGTTCAAATTCCAGATCCTCTAAGAAAACTTCCTGCCCCATCTCAGAGTTATTTGCTCCTTCCTCTGGCATCTTCCAGATTCTGCAAAGGTCTCCTTGGGGAACTACGAGAGGAACTCTTCACCTTTCATCTCAAAATTTGCTGAATTTGTATTGCGCTCTTAGTAAAGATGGAAGAAATGAGCAAAGAGGTGTCTGAAATGCTCCCACGGGGCCTGTCTCCAATGGCGTCCTCCACTCCTTAGAACGGCAGTGAGGGGGAGACTCTGGCCCTTGTCCACCCGTCTGGAATCCCTCTGCCACTGCCCCTTAGCTGTCTGGGAAATCACTCCACCTTTGAACTTGAGGATGTTTCCTCCACTATCAATGGGGGCTGAGGACGCCCATCCTGCAGCGTCGTGGTGAAGAGGCAGTGGGATGGCGGGAGCCACTCCTGGGCCAGGCAGTGCCCCATGGTTGAGGGGCTCATGGACAAGACCCGGACCACTGCAGTACTTTCCTATGTGAAAGGGCCAACTCTTCTATTTTGGGGGTTGAATTGGGTGTCCCAGAAATATATGTTGTAGCCCTAACCCCTTGTACCTGTGATTGTGACCTTAATTGGACATGGGTACTATGCAGATGTTATCAGATGAAGACAAGGTCTAGGGCTGGGGTGTAGCTCAGTGGACAAGCACCTGCCTCATGTGCACAAGGCCTCAGGTTTAATCCCCAGCACACGCACACACACAAAATGTCATACTGGATGAGGTGGGTCCTGACCCCATAATCAGCATCCCTATAAGAAGATGGACACAGACATACATATACAGGGAGGTTGATGTGATGCATCTGACATCTAGGAATGCCAAGGATTGCCACCAGCCACCAGGAATTGTTGAGGGCCACAGCCAAGTCGGGATGACGCATGGCATTTTTGCCAGAATGGGAGTGGTTGAGAGGTGACGCCAGGGAGCCTTTGAGATGATGATGGTTATGTTAAGCTGTGTGTTCAATTGCATATTAGACCCCTGCTGTCCACCTCACTTGCTACTTTGGAGTTCTGGGGGGCGGGGATTCCTGGGGAGTTGGGGAAGTGCCGGAGGAGGGATTTCCGGAGGAGGGATTTCCGGTTGGTGTGTGGTGTGTCCCGGGAGAAGGCCACATGCATGGCGTTCGCGGGAGTGCGGAGAATAAAGGAGTTCCTGTTTTGAACCTACAAGGCTGTGTGGTGGCTCGGTTATTTTGTGCCCAGCCAGGCTTCGGCAAGGAATGCCAAGGATTGCCACCAGAGGCTAGAAGATGCAAGGTGGGACCCTGGCCTGCAGCTTCCAGAGAACTCCTGGCCTGCTGGCACCTCAATCCAGAACTTTCAGCCTCCAGAACCACAACATGACACTTTCCTCTTATTTCAAGCCACCCAGTTCCTGGTGCCATGCCGTGGCAGCCCTAGGAGGCTAGGATAGCGGTCCTGTGGGCCTGTGCTTCCAAATAGAAAATAAAAGCCAAGTGGCTCCATCTCATGAATCCTCTGAGAAGCCTGAGGCATCTAAGATCAAGGAGGAAGAGCCGCCCGTTCGTACACAGCAGGGAGTCAAAGAAATGAGAAGACCCAATATAATGTGGAATTTCACAAAATCAACATTGGAAATATTTTTCTACAATCCAGCTACTTAGCTGAGATTTTATTGTTGGTTTATAAATTATTAAACAAGCACAGTCCTCCGGGGCTGCTGGAAGAGTGGGGCTTTGCTCCCCACTCACTAGCCCTGACCTTGGGCAGCTCAGGCTGCTTCACCAACCTGAGCTTCAGCCCCGTGAGATGCCCGTCTCCACGTTTGTCATTGAAGCCAAAGAACTGAAAGAAGGACAGATTACATTGCCCCCACAGGCCCCAAGCTGTCTGTGGGGGCAATGTAATCTGTCCCCACCGTCTGCACCCCAAGGGACCTCCCACCTCCAGCATAAATTGGCACATCTCCCAACGCTGTGGGAGTGGACATTCATGCAGTCCAGTGCAGCTGACCCGGACTCCTGCTCCTGATGGAAAGGGGGAGGGAGACGCTCTCCTGTGGAGAGCAGGAGATTTCAGCAAGTCGCGGAGAACACGGGTTTCGCGGTGAAGATGTTTTTATTTGATTTTCATCAGCTTTCAGGAGAAGAGTGTTTTTGCAGTGCTACGTAAAAACCTCACAAATACATCTTAAAAGCAGTAACATTTCTTTAAAAATGAAAGAAGGGACCGGGAGCTTGTGATGAGGGAAGGCATAAAACAGAAGCTTGGTCAGGGGTCAGCAGGTTCCCAACAAGGAAGAGGCGGGTGCATGTGTACCCCGCTCTTGCCATGGTCAGGACCACCATTCTGTGTGGGCTCAAGTTCCTGGCCCTGCAGGAGAGGCTGTGAGCCCTCTTCCTGGTGCATCTGACCACCAAGGCACTGCAGAGCAGGCCTCCCACCCCGTGCTCCAGGCAGGCCCCCCGAGCAGCAGTGCCGCCTTCCACAGGGGGCTGAGGCCCGCCGCAGGAGGCCTGTGGGGCTGTGGCTTCCGCCCTCCATCTGGGCAGATGCACAGCCTCAGGCCTCTGGGTTCTTTCTCTCGTCTGGCCGCCTTAGCTCTGGCCCTCAGGAGGGCCCGTGGTCACTGGGATTGGGTGCTCCAAGGCGCTGCAGTCATCAGAGAGGAAAACCAGGTCCTGCCAAAGACGCGCAATGAGGGGGCCCTGGAGCCAGGCGCAGCTCCAGGACTCTCGGTCATCCTGTCCTCAAAGGTCACACAAGTGTTCCCGGAGAAAAACCTCCACTCCCTCCTCCCAGGAGAGCCGGTCCCTGCTTTCTCCACATCCCTACAGGATCTCCTGTCCTACTCTCATGTCACGTGGGTTGGACGGGTGACCGAGCAAGGGACGAGCTCACCCTGCTTCTTGGCAACACCTGGGGCCCAGCACTGGGGTCGTGTGTGGGACAGGGTGGCTCTCAGCTCACCTGCTGGACAGTCACTGCACCTGCTTCTGCCATCTTGTCCCCCACAGACCAGGGGGAGAGGGGGACCAGGAGGGACTGGACATGGGGAAATGGGTAACACGTCTTTGCTACACAAAGAAATGTCAACTAATAGCCAGTGGTTTCTCCGAGGCTCACTCTGGCCAGGCAGGGGCTGGAGAGACCAGGTGTGGCTGCTCTGTTGGGTGTCTTGGGATCAAGGGGGTCAGGAGGGTTCTGGTGCATGGGAGGGTGTGATTCTTACCTTTCCAGTGATGTCATGAGGTGAGGACTAGTGTGTCCCCAGTTGACGTGTTTGCATTGGGTAGGGGAAGATGAAGCCACAGTTCAGGGCCACCTGGGGCTGCAGCCTGCGCCCTGGGATCCCTTGGCTCTCCCCTCCCCCCTCCTACCAGAGCTCCCCCCCTCACAGAGCACTCCTGGGGCCCCTGCTCCTCCAGAAAGCTCCGCCCACAGGCCCTGCTTGGCTCGGGGCCGTCTGTCTCAGGGGCCGGGAGTGGCGCCTCGTGTAGCTGTCTCATGAATCCCCGTCACTCAGCGAGGGAGATGGTGCTGCAGAAGGGCTTTGTGGATGCGAGCTCCTCCTAAGCCCCCTGCTCCTCCTCAAGCCCCCTCCTCCCAGCAGGCGAACAGGGGTGGTCAATGGCGTCACCTACCCTCCTGCAGAACGAGTTCATGATGGTGTATAGCTTCCGCACTTTGTCCTTCAGGGCATCCACCCGGGCCATTTTCCAACAGTGGGGTGAGGCCACGAAGTCCCGCAGCTTGGCCAGCACACAGTAATTCTGGGAGTGGGCAATAGGAGAGGGTTCACGGGAGAAGTCGGCAGCCAGGGGGACAGGAGCTAATGAGCGCCTGTGTCCTCCTGTGCCTCTCCCACCCCATGGGGCCTCTCCCACCGGACACTGGATGGTCAGCAGCAGAGGATGCAGATTGCCCCCACCAGGCAGAGCCCACTTACGTGGATATCCAGGTGCAGCCCGGGCAGGTACCTCACACAGGGCTCCTGAAGAAAGGACACAGGCTCAGCCTGGCCACAGAGGCTCTGGCCAGCCCAGCCCAGATCCTGGGGTCTTTCTTGGTGCTATGACACCTGAAAAACTTGCTAGTCTTACATGTCCATGCACCCCAAAGTGGACAACTGGTCTCCCAGATTTTGCCTTTTAGAACACAGAATTATCATATTTACTCTGAATCGAGGCACCATTTGATGCACACGTAAACACATAGTAATATTTGATAACCACCAGGTATATATATACATAATAAAACAATTTTATAGCTGTTTAGTTATATGATAGTTCTACACCTACAAATAGATACATGTAATATATAACAAGTATAACATATACAAACATATCCATAAATATGTATTATTATAAATTAGTTACATAGAGTAAAATGGGTCCTGTGTAACCCTCTGCAGCATCCCCGTGGTACTTTCCTATTGCTACATCTTACTCCTGGTCGGTTCAGGGATGAAGCCCTCAATTCCTGCCCGCCTGCGTGACCTCGGGCTCGTATCTTCCTCTGTGACCTAGTTTCTCGGTTGGGAAATGAAAGAGCTGGAATGTATAATCTTTCCACTTCTTTCTAGTTCTAACATTCTGAGCCTATGGGTTTTTTTTTTCTTTTTTTTACCTTTAAAAATCGGATTCTTTTAAAAGACAATTGCTCTGTCTCTTCCAAGGCAAGGGATGGTGGTGCACCTACCCAGCCAAGTTCTTTTGTACCTAAGGGTATTAACTTACTCCACAATGTCGTTAATAAGCAAGTTGCAAAACAGCTTGTGCCATTTGATCCCAATTTTGTTGCAGCCTGGCGCTTGGGTACCTTGGCACAGACAGGAGGCAGAAACGCCAGCCTTTGGAATGTAATGGGAGCAGTCACCTCTGGGTGACAGAGTCACAGCCATGCCTATTTTCCTCTTTGTGTGCGTTTTCCGACCGTTCTACAAAGTATGTTACTTTTATAATGAGACATAAATACATGTTATTTGGCTTTAAAAAAAGAAAACACAGAGAGGGTGTTAGAGTCCTGTAAACCCCAACATCTGAGAATCATTAGGTTCTTTTTGAAGCATTTACAAGCAGTCAAGAGACGCTGTTCAATTGTGCTGAAGCTCTTAATGAAGCTTAATTCATGGCTTTTCTCTGTCAGATGCTCGACTCAGCCACCCTTCTGGACACCCGACTCTGAATTCCTGGGTGTCCTCTTGACCCCAGCTAGCCACCCTTGCTCACTCCTTTGACCCTCTGTGTGCCCAGGGCGGGTGGGGTGGGCAAGCTGTTGTCATCTATTTTACAGGCAGGAAACTGAGATAGCAGACTGAGTGATCTGCCCAGGGTCCCCAGCAGGTAAGGGGTCACCATCCCTCAGCACACAGGGGTCACTGGGCTGTGAGGTGACTCTGAAGTCCTAGACTCTGTGGGGAGCTGGTCTTTTCTTTTGGTACATTTTACTACAGCGTCTCTGATATTTGCTAATAAGTTCAAACAAAACTTGTGATGTCTTTGGTTACTTTTCCTTATATCTTTGAAAAGGCAAATAGTTGGCATATTTAGTAGGAGGGAAATATACAAAAGCCCTTGAGATTATCTTTTACTAGAAAAGAATGGCAGTCAGTCTTCTCTATTTTTCTTTTTCTCTCTCTCTCTTCCCTTCTTTCCTTCTCCCCACCCTTTCTTTCTTTTTCATCCAAAGCCATGTGTTTGGGAGGTGCATCTTCACGGAGCCTCCTGGCCTGGCTCCGGGGTGAGGGTGGGTGTGGGGGGGGACTCACCCCTGGCTCTGCGGCCTGCAGCCCCTGGAACTCACTGGTGATCTCCCTGCTCAGGGTCAGCATCCTGGAGTAGCAGGTCGGGGGAGCGGGCCATGCAGCAGGGAGCCCGGCCAGCAGCAGCAGGAGCAGGGACGTCCAGGGCATCATGGTGCTGGGCTCCCTGCAGCCTGGCCCGCCTCCCTTTTAAGCAGCAGCTGGGGGTGGCCCAGGGCCATGGCTCCACGCCTCCATTTCCTGTGGGCCCCGCCAGAGCCAGCTGCCCAGTGGGTGGGAGAGGGGGTTTGGCACGCCCACCTGGGCCGGGACACTCAGTCCTTTCATTAGGATCCCATGAGGTGAGGATGGCTGCAGGCACCTGGGGGCGCATCTGGAGGGAAGCGGGCCCTGCCTCTGGCACGGTTTCCACCGTCGGTGTCCCTCCTTGGGAACTTTTCTGACACTGACAAAGAGCCGCAGTGAGGGGCAGAGGCCAGGAGGGAGAGAGGGAGGACGGGAGGTGGGTCAGAGGCCAGGAGGGCTGACTCTATAAAGCTGGCTGATCTCCTGCAGCAGAGCTGGGGCAGGAGTGACCAGCAGGGAAGGGTTAAGCGACATCCCCTCTGGTTGCCGGGGTGGGACAGTGATACCTGCCTGGGGTCCAGCGGCCTGAGTGTCATTGTATTGGGTCACCCGCCCCCACCCCAGGCAGCTGACCCTTGGGTGGGTTGTCACCTGCCTCCTGAGCAGCTGTGCCCTCTTGTAGCCTGGAGGCTAGGCTGACACTGCACAGGTGGTCTTGGCTGTGTGAGCATCCCTGAGCCCCCGGCATGGACCCACGAGGATGCAGGAAGGGCGGGCTGTCCACTTGAGCATGTGTGTCAGGGTGGAAGCAGCCCGGCTCAAGGAGTGAGCTCCCACCTAGATGCCCAGGCAAAGCAGGGCCGTGCCCTCGGGCTGTGGCCGAGGCCAGGTTCTTAAGTCTCCCCCATTTCCTGTGCGCAGTGGGGTGGGAGCTCTGGGGACAACTGTGGAGCCAGGGAGGTGCCGTGTGACCTGAGCAGAGCCCACGCCTGCGTGCTGCGAGTTTCCACAAGGTCTGAGCTCACATGGCTGTCTCCACTCAGTCCTGTGAGGTCCCTGCCAGGCACAGGCCACAGAAAGTAGTCCCTCTCTCCAGGAGGAAACCGGGGCTCAGAGAGCTCCAGCAGCCCGACTGGGGTCACAGAGCTGGAGGCCAAGCGCCCAGGTGAGGTGCCCTGCCCTGTCCTCCTCCTGTCCTGCTGCTCCTCAGGATGGAATCTTGAGAAGCAGGAGTCTTGCAGTCAGAGATGAGTTGGGTCCTTGGGCTGCCAACACCAGGAGCAGGCAAGGGACGGGGGCAGCCAGGAGGGGAAGGCTGATGGCCGGGTCACCTGAGTGGTGCCCGTGCTCCTGCAGCCCCCAGATCCGCTGCCAGTGCAAATGCCGTGAGCCGTGCACGAACCTGAACAGTGGATGGGGCGAGCAGCGGGCCCTGGACCCAGATCTGGGCAGGCCTGGCCCCACGCCCCCTCCAGAGGCAGGGCATAAGGGGGACCAGGGGGCTGCAGGGTCCCAGAGGAACACAACTGAAGACAACAGCCCAGGGAGCGGGAGCCAGGGGTCAGACAGGGAAGGCACCCGGGCCCCGCCTCTCCCGCCTGGAGAAAGCGTCCCGACCCGTGGTCAGCAGCTGGCTCTGCTGGCCGTGACCCTGGTCCTCCATCACCCCCATATTTACCAGTTTCCAGTGTTCAAGGCCCTGCGCAGGGATGGCGAGCTGTGCCTTCCTGCCCTGTGCGCAGCAGCGTGTGCTCCAGACTCCGTTAGGAGCCCGTGTCGGGCAGCCCGCAGGCGGCGGCAAGGAGTGCCAGGAGGCCACCGAGCCCCAGGAGGCCGCCCCGCCAGGCCTCTTGCCTCCGCGTGGAGTCTGCACCTCGCTCCTCTCTGCACTGGGCCCTGGTCCTGTGCCTCCCTGGTCACGCCCTGGCCCCAGCCTAGGACTCTAGGTCTGCTTTGAGAGGCTCCAGGGACCTTTCATCAGAGCGTCGAGTTCAGGTCAGGGAAGGAAAACAAGTCCTGCACCCTTACGTCCAGGACAGCGAGGCAGAGACAGATGAGTGGCTGGGAGACAGACCTGTTTCCCACCAGGACGTGGCATGGGTGTGGCTGGGGCTCCTGAGCTCAGTGCTGCAGGGGGCCTCCAGTTCCTGGCATCTATAGGTAGAACGGGTGAGAGGCCCCCAGGTTCCAACTGGGACATGGTGACAAGTTGGGGCCCAAGGAGTCACAGTCTCTGGCTGGCTTTCTTGCCAGGTGATCTCTATCTCAAAAGTGCTCCTGCCATTGTGATGACATCTTTCACATTGTGACATGGCCCAAGGGCCCTCCCCAGAAGTTGAGCCAATAAAACTACTGGTCTTGTACTTTCAGTCTCCAAAATTGTCAGTTAAGTAAATCTCTTTTCTTTATATGCCCAGCCTCAGGTATTTTGTTATAGTAACAGAAAATAAACTTATGAAGTAGAACTTTAGAAATCATCTAAACCAACCTGTCTGATGCTTATGCTTTCTTTATAGCTTTCCTGTTAAGTGCTTATCCAGAATCTGCTTGTATACCTCCTTGGATGTAGAGCTCACTCCTGCTAAGGCTGCCTTCCAGAGGTCACCACAATGTCCACTGCCCTCATCTCACTCTAAAGCAGTACATTCTGAACAGGACCCACGTCCATGGCCAACATCTCTCTAAGCATCCACAATTCCCTCCCTTTGCAGGCTTTCTTCAGTTGAGACTTGCACAGGAAGAGAACACCATTTTGGCAGATACTGAATTTCAGTTGTCACAGCTTAACTTCTGATGTGGTTCGAAGGTTCCCTCTAAGACACTAATTGCCATTGTAACAGTATTCAGAGGCGGAACTTGGAGAGGGGGTTAGGTCGTAAGGGCTCAGTTCTGTGAATGAATTATTGAGGAACTGGGTGGTTATGTTGGGAGTGTAAGTGCACAACCTCTCGTCCCCTCTGACTTGTGTGTGCTTGCCCTTCAACTTTCCACCATGATGACCCTTATTAGATGCCAGCACCGAGGCTGGTAGACTTCTCAGCCTCCAGAACCATGCACTAAGTACACTCCTATTGTTTATAAATTCCCCAGCCTCAGGTATTCTGTTATGGCAGCAGAAAACAGACTGAGACAGTGTCCTTGTGTTTTCTGTCTGTGACCTTGTGTTTTCAGGACCTGGGACTCTCTTTCAGGATTTACGGAGCAAGAGCGGTTGGCCTTTTCCCTCTGGCTGTTCAGAGCAGCCTGTTTCTAAGCGCTGCCGAGGCCAGGGAGACACTCTTTGTTCTCAGCCCCAGGGGCCGTAAGAAACAGGAACTGGCTGTTTGCTCTGGCCCATGCACCTTGGCTGAAACACAGAGAGGCCCGTTTCCTGTGTGCCCCTGGTGTTCCTACCCTGTGGCCTTCTGAGGCATCTGAGGTTGAAATGGCTGTAGCCAATGCCAGTTCTCTTGTCGCCCAACCTGAGCCGCTAGCAGCCTAATTTCTGCAGAAAACAGTGCACTAGATCATACAGCCTGGGTCTGATGCCAGAGCTGGGCTGGAGGCCACCTGGGGGACAGAGGCCCCTCGGTGCCTCCCCATTTCTGCAAGCAGTTGGGGTCAGAAGCCAAGAGCCCATGGCAGCTGACCCGGCAGTGACAGCCGGGAGTGTTGGGTGGGGAGAGGGTGAGCACTCAGCCAGGCGCTGCCTCTGGGGTTCCTGTTGACCTAGCATCCTTCGTAGAAGCTGTGCTTCCCCCATGTTTGTGGGACATGTTTTTGAGCTTTCGCTTTGGCTCTTGGCAAACCCACCTGGAAAGCTGGCCCAGCCCGTGCAGGAGTGAAGGAGAGAAGGCAAACACCAAGGCTGGGCTTTGCTTACGGCAGGGATTATGAAGAGAGCCCCATGATTTTAAAAAATGTGCTATATATACAGTATGGAATTTTACTCAGCAATAAAAGAGAATAAAATCATGGCATTTGCAGGTAAATAGATGTAGTTAGAGAAGATAATGCTAAGTGAAGTTAGCCAATCCCAACAAAACAAACGCTGAATGCTTTCTCTGATACAAGGAGGCTGATTCATAGTAGGTTAGGGAGGGGAAGCATGGGAGGAATAGATGAACTCTAGATAGGGCAGAGGGGTGGGAGGGGAAGGGAGGGGGCATGGAGTTAGAAATGATGGTGGAATGAGATGGACATTATTATCCAAAGTACATGTATGAAGACATGAATTGGTGTGAATATACTATGTATACAACTGGAGATATGAAAAATTGTGCTCTATATGTGTAATAAGAATTGTAATGCATTCCGCTGTCATATGTAAATTAAAAAATTAATAAAAAAAGAAAAGAGCCCCGTGTTTTAGAAGCGAGCCCCCCCATAAGCCCCAACATGGATTCAAGCTTTCAGAGGACAGTGCATACAGCAGGAGCTCTGAACCAAACAGTTCCCCTGCGTGAACAGTAGAAGCTCTCCAAGAAGGTCCCAGCTGGGCTCGGAAGAAAGACCACAGCCTAGGGTGCTACAGCTCGGAGCTCCCTTTGTTACCTGCGACTGAGCTGATCGTGACGTCACTTGGCTTCCGCAGAAGTGCAGGGATTACGGCATTTATTGGAAACCGTTTTTGTGAAGACAAACATGAGACTGCTGGCGTGCCCCTCAGGGCTGCGTGCCCCCCCCTTTCCCTCTTCCTTTTTTCCTTCTGGTTACAGACCTGCTCCTCAACCTCATCTTGGACCATTTCTGGCCTCCTGCTGTGGGGGTGGTGAGCATATGAACCAGATGGGCAGGCCAGAGTCTTCCCTGGGGCTAACACGAGCACAGGAGGACGGTCACCTGCTCGTTTCATTGAGGAGACTGCGCTGTGGTGGCTACAGGCCTGTCTGCAGGAGGAGTGGGCAAGGCCGGGAAAGAAGAAGCAGAGCTCAGAGATGGAAGGCGGAGGAGGACCAGCACGGGGCTGCACCCTGGCTCCAGTTCCAGAAGTCTCTGAGTCCTGCGACTCTGCCAACTGTCCGGGCCATTTCCAGCCACTGAGTTGATGGCTACAGAACTGACTTCTTTGGCCTGAGCTGGTTTCTGGGAGTTTCTTTCTGTCTCTT